TCTTTACATATGAAAAATATATAATATCTTAAGGATATATACAGGATATAAATATAAATAATTAAAATATTACAAAACATATTAATTTCTAGCCTATATGAAGATTTAAAAACCACTGCCTTACTTTCTTTATCTCTGGAGGCTTTTTCAGTTCATTCAATGTGCTTTTGTATAATGTTATTATTATTAGCAGTATTATTTATTATTTGCATATTTATATTTGTTTTATTAAAAACAAGCTTAGATTTGTCCACCTGTCAGGTTTTAGACCATATGGGGCACAGCATGTGTTTTAGGATATAACTCAGGTTTTTGAGCACACTTCGTTATTATTGTTCATTTATTCGTTTGCTGGAGATTAGAACTGAATTTAGAAATAGTTTTGAAACTAATCTTTGCGCTTAACAAACGAAATTAATTATTTATAGGCTAATTGATGTCTGTGCGTAAATGTTTCCCTATCCACGAGAGCGAAAGCGAAAGTGAACTTACTTTACGTCATGTTAATAGCAATGCGCTTATGGCGCGACACAGCTGGCTCTTAAAGGGAATGGGAGATGAGACTCTGATTGGTTTATTCTCAAAACACACCTATAACTCATTAAGAGAATAAACTCAACCCTTTTAGACCATGTGCCATGGTGCAAAGCAGATTTTCCCATCCTTAAATTAGCAAAAATGCATTCTGACACGCCCTGAAAGCTTTTGCGCCCTGCGCATGGACTGTCAAAATAGAGCCCTAAGACTAGCATCTTACAGTGCAGTTCTTGGTGGTTGGTTTGGTTATTGATAGTCAGATTGAGCAGCTGCAGTGGCTGTAACGCAGACAGAAACACTGACTCTAGAGTTATAGAGAGTTCGCCCCTGTATTTGGCATAATGTCTGAAACGCAGTGACCTCTGACCTCTGAAGATGAGCGGGCTGCTCTGACAGCTGGTACTTTTAGACGAGGGTTTGGAGGAGTCGCTGTCGAAGTCCTTGATGTTGATGGAGACCAGCGGATCCTTCATTGCTGGAGTTTTCTCCTGCGAGGACAGAAACTCATCTGCAGAAACAGCAGTGGAGTGTCAAACACACACACACACACACACACACACACACACACACACACACACACACACACACAGTTTTCTGTTCGCTACATGTGTGTTTGTGCAGAAACTGACCCTGTATATGAGAGATGTCCAGACCTTCCTT